TCTTCAAACCTTGCAGCAGGGCCACAGAGGGAAAAACGTCCGAGAAGGACTGTCCTAGGACACCCTGCCAGTTAGTCAATTTGAACGTTTGTGCCCGCTTTCTTTCGGATACAAACCAATGCCACGATCTTATTTACCTGGAGTTGAGGAAGATTGGTTGCCGTTTGCCAGTCTTTGTCATCACGAATACGTGTACACCGTGGAAACCGAATTGAGATTCCATCTGCAGAGTGCGCCTCAGATTTAGAAAACTCAGCCCCAGTGATTTCCCACACTGGTGCTTTCTGTAACACAGACAGAAAGCAGTGTTTGCTGTGTCCATTAGAAGGTTAAAACCAGAAAAATAAACTCATGTCTTCAGAAACGTGCCAAAGAAGGAACCAGGCTGACGTGCAGAATTCTCCTGAAGTGCCCAAAAGACATTGTTTTTTTCATGCAGGACTAAATCAAATCCAAAACAGAAATGGCCTCAACTTTTAGCCAAATGGCTAGAAGACACAGGAATATTTCATCCAACACTCAAGACATCATTTATGAGAGGCAAGTCTATGGCAATATCTAGTTCAGAAACAGTTCATAAACCTACCTTTGGATCTCTGACAATAAAGTCAGGTACGTAGTTCTTACTGACATTTAACCATGCTGGCACCTTGCTTGGATCCTGCACCAAAAGAACATTTATTTAAACAGCTATAACAAGATCCAAACTGAATTTTAGAATTCTATAGAATTGTTTAATATTTCATAACACATGGGGAAAGAACATGTGATATTTCCAACAATGTATTACCTTGCTTATTTTCACCATATCCAGTTCATTCTGTAAGCGTGCCAATGTCGCATCATCATGGCCACCTCCGCATTTGGTTACTGTGCACCACTGTGAAGAATCAGGGTCATAGCAACCCATCAAGAAAATGGACATCATCCCACCTGAAACCAGTCCAAGGAATCCATTAACTCCACTGACCCACAGTTACCTAGATAGTAAACAGCACTTGTCTAAGGTCAGGTCTGTTCCTGGCACCACAGAATTTTAGGATTTTTTTTAAACCAGCGCAACTAAGAGGATGTTAAAATTTGTTCCAGCATTCCTAGTCAGGGACAGAAGCAATAAATAAAGTCAACTGCTCACGTGTAACTCTGCTGGTAAAGTGTATGTGTATATAGTTACAAATTAAATACTCACTAATTGTGCCTTCCTTATTAAGCCTTGCTTTATTGCTCAAATCTCTCTCCATACTCACGCTCAACTTACTTAACATAGGGCTTGCGGCATCCCCATAAGCTTTTATTAGAAAATGGTTTTAGGTGGCTTTTGGAAGACAGCATTGAGGTTAACTTAACTGTACAGTTCAATAATCCAGAGGTGAAGTCTGTTAAACAACAAGCAGTTTAAACATTTGATTTGATGCAAGTGCCACCATTACCTTTATTTCCTTGCCCATAGAATGCTCCCAGCACCACGAGGTCCGCAGTATCAGCCATCGCACCTTCATTGAGATAATCCTTCTTTACTTTCAGCCAATGACGTTTGCCTGGTTCATATAGACTCTAAACATAGAAAGCAATTTAGTTAGAATTAGAACATTTATGCAAGATAGCAAAATTTCAGAACTTAAACCATTTTAGTTCCAGCTGCTTATTTCAAAACTTCTCAAATATATAAGTAGATCTGCATGCAAGATGCCCTGTAATTAGAATGTAGCAATAGCCACTTGGCTGGGATAGAGGAGTCCTAAACACTGGAGGTTCCTCATACACATTATTTAAGTTAGTCCTACATCTGTTCAGCATTTTCCATCACTTCAGGATGCCCAAAGTTCCAAGATCCTGTTACTCCAAGTTGCCTGACCTCCAGGATACTCCAGAACATTACAGCAGATGGTGGCTCTAGTTAACCCTTCCCTGACCTCACACCGTACATTCTGGTGTTGAATACTACCGGGCTGATTTCAGGAGCTCACTGAGAAGGCCATGTTGGTTGGGATTTAAAGACGACCCTACTTTTCTGTGAGGGAGTCTTCAGTTTTCATTCCGACAACCTCCACGCACACACGGCTGGACTCAATCCAACTGGGACTCCGAGAGAGAAGTGTGGGCGCTGCAAGGGAACAGGGTCCAGTTCTGAGGGCAAATTGGTGAAAGTGAGTTATTCATGGGCACCAGCACTAGAACCAAACACAGGAGACTAAGTTGGATGTGGATCCTGCTCTGTCCTGATTGATGGCTCTGCCCATCAGATTCGGGGCAAGCAGTAATGTGGCCCTCATGGGCAATGCTCACTTTGATCGTGTGTGTCCCTGGTCATCGAAGCGTGTGTTTCCTGACAGGCCCCCTCCAGCCCCATCACCCTCAATCCCACTTGTTTTGTCACTAGCTGAGCGTGGAAAAGGTTCAGATGACGATCAGTGCCCTTGGAAGCTGATCCTTCATAAAAACTGCTGCCTTGTAAGATCCTCTTCATTCCTCAAGTGTCATGACTTCTTCCACACCACCCCCTCCAACCTGGATGTCTCTTGGGGGTTGTGGGGAATGTTTGGTTGATTGTTTCCTTGTTCGGGGTTATTTGGGTATCAAGAAACTAAGTTTGGGGTGTTCTGCACTTTAACATTGCTCGGAAGCCAGGGGCATTAGGGAAATAACATGTGGCCGTGGCTGTACCCTCCAGAGATAGGACATTGAATAAACATCTTAAAAGAGAGGTCATAAGGAGAACACTGCTACACCTGATAAAACCCAAATTAAACAGATCACTAACTCCCTTCCCTGGAACCAACACTGTCCTCTCAGGGAGGAATTGATCGAGTTTCCCTTTGCATGGTCTGCAGTGATCTCTCCCTCACCATATATTACATGCCTTTAAACGACAACTCCAACATGTGACAAATTAGGATAGCATGGATTAAGACCATTCAGCCCACATTCCTATGGTGTCTAACTGATTGCTATAAAAGGCCAAGGACTTGCTGCAGAAAAGGTTATTGGGGCTTGAGGGATGGAGTTTAGTAAATTGACTCAGGGGAATCAAAACGTGGCACTTTCTCCAAAACTTTGCCAAGAAAAAGGACGGATAAAGAAAGCGGACAATCTATACCTGGAGAGGAACTGAAAGCAAAACAAAAGGAGAACATGGAGAGATTAACTGAAGTGAAACAAGAGTCCAGAGAAATTATAACATTAAACTGATCAAATACCTTTTGAAGACAATGGAACCGAAGATGTAGCGATTGTACAATGTTGGCTAAGAGTCATGGTGAGATTTGCACGTCCATCCAAGATTTGACTTCAGTCACACAGTACTGTGGTCAACTCTTAACCTCCATCAGCAGTGGCCTCGCAAACCACTCAGTTGTACAAGGATAATTAGAAATGGGCAATAAATACTGCATTGCCACTGACACCCACAATTCAATCATTAATTTTCAAAAAAAAAAATAATCACACACACACACCTGGCAATGTGGAAACATGCATTACTCAATTATTTGGAGATAATTTTCACGCACATATTAGCACTTGTCAATCCCAGTCAATTCTGTCCACTTCCAGAAGACAGGACCATTGGTAAAAACCCACACTGAGAATATCTCACCTTAACATCTTTCAGTACGAGTCCTTCCAGGCCCTCTTGAATAACTCGATTGATCATTTCTCTCAAATCAGAGGCCCTCTACCAAAGCAGGATAGAAGATTTTTTTTCTTAAAAGAGAGTCAATGAGATGTTTACACGCTTTATCAAGTGGACCGATTAGCTACAGAGTTGGTCACAAGAGCAGTTTCTTTCTTTATCACTGCTAAATTGAAACAAACTGTTTGACTGTAAGTATTTACTTGGGTCAAAGAGAGATTGGTGAGCATTTACTCCAGAGAATAGCATTGTCAGTTCAGAGTGAATTAAGGTGCTTGCAGAGTTATTTAACAGAACACTGACCTCTACAAGTTGTCAAATGTCTAACTCCATAGGCTAGGAAAGAATTTAAATGTGAAGTGATGTGAAAAAAACCAAGATTAGCTCAATAAGACAACAATATATGGGCTTAATAAACAGTGAGACAGATATATTCTACAACATAGCCTGTCAGAATAGAGTTACTAGAAGGTTACATTTTAAAAATGTCAGGATTATGTTAGTATTTCTTAACAGATAGTTCTACAGCGGTTATTAGATTAATGAAGTTACAATCTTGGCTTCCATTTTCTGTTACTATTTCGTGTTTAAGACAACCAACATACTTCAAAAGCTTGATGTTTAGGTAGAGACCAGCAGAAATCAAAGTGTGTGCAGTAATAGCATTGGGGGCAAAAAAGACCTTGCATTTATCTAATGCATTTCAGGTAGCAGCACTGAGTCATAAAATGGGGCTGTTAGAAATTAGGAAGGGTGACTAAAAGCTTTCGTTTATAGAGGTGCATTTTATGGAAGGCAGAAGGGGGACAGAGTGAGCAATGTTCCCTCAAAGTTGCATTTATGTATTATTTTTAGCAAATATTATGACAGCACACATTTACGTGTATGGTGGGATATGTATGATATCTGACAGAGGTCTGTTCACGTAGGTTACAACACCTTGAGAGAAACCTCACTGCAGCCCATTGCACCACTGATAATAATACAGTAGCAGAAACAGTTAAAGTAGAGAGCATTTAGTGACTAGGTTATGTCAAAGTATCAGAAAAACAAAATAACCGCCAACATAAGAACATGAAGTAAGAAGCAATAACGAACAGGTACAACCTGCCCAGCGTTTAAGTATATGTCAGGAGATACAAAGACTTTGAGCTGATATTATAAATTCCACCACTGGCACAGACATTATATAATGGAATTGCAGATTAGGAACTCAGGAAAGAAAGTAATTATTGGAGAGAAAGCTTCCGTGATATGTACAATGCCAGACCCAAATTCCTAGCAGCACACTCATCATTATAGTTCTACGTCGAGAGTGCTACATTACACAAATCGAGCATGAAGTAATTCCCTTCCTCCATCCAATCACCTTTTCAAGATCCTTGTGTGTCCTGTTGGATGACCAACTCCCTGTTTAGAAGAAGCTTCAACTAAATTGGTGCTCCCTTGACACATCAGTCATGGTTACCGCTATATTGAAAAACCATTTGTATAAAGTTGCACTTAAAATGAGACTATACTTACAGTCACGTGCTTCATCTCGGAAAACATGATCCTATTGGGAATTTCAACCATGTTGTCATGAAGGAATTGCTTTCGTTCACTGATTGGTCTAGAAAAGATATTAAAAACATCCGTGATTTTTTTGAATGCTAGTTGCCAGTCTAATTCATCCTTCCATAGTAAACTGCACTTCTAACAAGTAAAGATGATGAAAGCCATAGAGACACTATATTTTAAAATAGAAACCCAAATTTCCAAGTCACCCAAAGCAACATATTATGATATCCAAACCTTTCACAATCTGGAGCAATATCAAGAATAATATGTGCCAGTGTTCCCAAGGATGGTGATCAGAGATAGCTAGTGTTTGTTTTTTTTTGATGAAAAAGACTTTGAATACCTGGATAATTTATTTTTGGGATCGTAGCATTGAAAACATGACAGTCAACAGCCATTCTGTACACAACATAAAATCATTTAACTACATAATCATCTCCATTGTCTGTTAAGATCCAGAATCATAAGGAATTTCAGCTGGATGCTGGTTTGATAGGAGATGTACAGACCTGTTCATGAGGCTGACTCCATTGAAATAGATACAGTCGAAGACAAAAAGGCAGACATTAGCATCTTTGAAAGCAGCTTTCTGGAACAGAAGAAAATAGAATGCAAATGGTTTGGTGCATACAATTCTAGCTCTACTAATTGCTAAAGAATCTAAACAAAAAACAGTATTCCAAACTACATCCCTCAGAACTAAGGCACAGACAGTAAGTGAGGTACAATTTCACTGCCAGCAGCATTTTACTACCTCAACCAAGTGGTCATTTTCTACGTAAGCTTATACATCCTCAACAAACAGAACAACAGGATGCACCTTACGTGGGCCAAATCTGTTCAGGTGCACATACTGGATAATGGTCAGGACTGAGTACCTCATTTGGAATTCCTTCCAGCTAGGCCAAGGAGCTAAAGCTATAAAAAGCTGGAAGCCTGGAGATTACACAGATAGGAAGAAGTGAGAACACTGGGGGACATGTAAACAAGGATGGGAAGTTTAAAATCAAGACATTACTTGACCAGGGGTGGGGGAGTGAGAGAGAGCACAGTAGCGTGAGTGAGAGAGTGGTAGCACAAGCGACAGTGCGAGAGAGACAGAGAGAGAGAGAGAGTGAGCACAAGCGAGCACGGAGTGGGGAGTGGGGGAACAGAGGGGGTGGAGAGACAGACAGACAGACCATGATGATTAAAGATGAGATGAACTGTGTTTCTTGACCAAAGTAGCACAACCACAGATGAACTGATTCTAGGCCCTGCTGTCCTGTCATCTATCCTAGATATCACTTGGACACCAAGTTGTTTACCCTCTCAGATCGTCCAAAGTTAGAAATTATCAGGTACATAAGTGTTGTATTCATTACTTTGAATTGTTATAAAGTGATGCTTCATTGTCTACAGTCAACATCCCTCTTCAAATACAAGCAGTCCCTGGGTTAAGAACGGGTTAATTTCCCGAGTATGTTCATAAATCAATTTGCATGCAAATTGAACACAATATAGTACATTATAGAGTAACTGCTCGTAAATATGAGCATACATTTGCAAGTCAAATCCTTAAAGTTAATAATAGCACTCATAAGACAGGTGTTTGTAAATCGGGGACCTCTTGTAATACATTAAAAGTTTTGAATACTGCATCTTTAAGTTTTGAGGTTTAAAACCTCTCCTCCAAAAGCTTTGTAGTTAAACACATGAATTGACAAATTGACTAATAGGTTCTAAATTCAATTGCTGGACTGAATACAGTTTGCCGAACTCAGCCAGTGATAATGTAGAGGCGGTGACCATTGGCCTCACAGCTAGGGTTTGAGAGGGGGTTGGACAGAAACTACCCAATTTTTTTCACTGCTTGCTCATGACCCCATGCTGGAAAAGATCAGATGCAACCAAATAGCCCTCCATGGTCTGTGACTGAACTCGTCAAAAAAATTAATGGTTACTTAAGAGTCAGATAACTCAGTTGGCAGGATGGTCAGTTTCTGATGCAGAGTGAAGCCAACAGTGTGGATTCAATTCCTGCACTGGCTGAGGTCCTGCCTTCTCAACCTCGCGAGAGGCATGGTGACCCTCAAGTTAAACCACCACCAGTCATCTCTCTAATAAGAGAAAAGCCCTCTGGTGCTCTTCCACTTTAGTGACTACTTGTCAAAAGTCTTGCCTAAACTTAGAAATCGCATTTCGGCACAAATAAATGTTTTTAACCAGAAGCAGAAAGGAATGGCAAGAATTTTTAAAAAATATTTCCAATTCTTGCGCAGGAATGCTGAAATTCAATGTATTTAACTGCAAACCTCCAACACCTCTGTGTAACAAGCATTAGATCATCATAAATGTTATGGGAACACATTAAACCTGGATCCTTCAATCACATTACCTTATGGACACCCAGTGTTCCAAAAGGGAGTGGTTTTCCAGTCTGTGTATCAATCAGCAGCACCTCGGAATCCAAAATCATGCTGTCGCCGCCTACAAAAGCTTTGGGAATATAATCTCTAAAATGAGCAACCTGGAAGAAAAAAAAATACATGAAAAAGACAAAATTGTTTTTGCAACAATGTAAGTCAGCAGAATTGGTCCACCTTCATCAAACCGGAACTTTGGAACATACACTGTGTTATCAACTTGCCGCAGTGTGTAGTCTCAACTGATTGAGTCAGTGGGCAGAAGTTCAAGTCTCATTTTAGCTGAGCACAAAGTAGATTGACCTGAATTTGTGTGGATGCAGGTTCATTTTTTCTCATTAGTAAAGCATAATAAAGTTTTAATATTATAACATGGTCAGCAAAATAAACCAAATATCAAAATTATAAATTGTTGATACCAGATTTATTCCAATATCATCCGTTTCTGATTGAACTTCATCTGTTCAACATTAATTGTGAGAAGGACAAGCCTATGATTTACTAACAAACCACATAAACCCAACTAAACAAGCTCAGGGGCGGACAGCCCTGCCAATTTGCTCAAGAATCCCAATATTGGTCTATTTTCATGATTTTGTTAATCCCAGTTAGTTTTATTACTGACATTACTGACTAGAAGAAACATGCTTAAATCATAGATTCCCTACAGTGTGGAAGCAAGCCATTTAGCCGATTGAGCCCTCCAAAGAGCATCCCATCCAGACCCACACCACTACCCTACCCCTGTAAAACCTTGCATTTCCCATGATTTATCTACCTAGCCTGCACATCCCTGGACCCTATGGGCAATTTAGCATGGCCAATCCACCTAACCTGCGCATCTTTGGATTGTGGAATGAAACCGGAGCACCCGGAAGAAAACCACGCAGACACTGGGAGAATGTCTGTGTGGAATTTGCACACAGTCGCCCAAGGTTGGAATAGGTCCCTGGTGCTGTGAGGCAGCAGTGCAAACTACTGAGCTATCGTGCTGTCCAAGTGAGGCAAGTCAAAGGATGGTCAGCCCAACCCGACATGTATAGAGATAGGAGTCCTCCTCAAATTAAATCTATACAGGTGTATAGATGTAACCAAGAGTTTTCATGATCACAGTCGTTGCTAGGATAAGCCTGACCTCCACAGTGTACTGTTACACTTAGCAGGGAGATGAAATTAATACAAAAATACATAGTCAACTTTTAAGAGAAGCACAGAAAAGTGAGTCAGAGAGAAATAAAAACAAGTGAGGTAACTGAGAATATATAGATGCTTCTTGGATTTCCCTGGTCCAGGTGAGATGTTTTCATACAAATAAGAGTTGCTGTTAGAATATAGCACAAAATTAAACATCCCAAGGCATCTCACAGAGGCATTATAAAACAAAATAAGACACTGAACCATATAGAGAGATATTAGCACAGACAACCAAAAGATTGGTCAAACACTTGCACGTTAAGAAGTGCCTTAAAAAGATGGAAGGAAAGTAAAGGAGTAAGAGGTTGAGTAGGGAAAGCATTCAGTCCAGGTAGCTAGGCTAACAGAATCAAAGGACAACAGATTTTTGAAGATTGTGGAGCCAGAGCGGATTAGAGATCAGAAGGAGCAAGGTAATGGAGAGACGTGAAAGCTAGCATGAAAATTTTAAAATCAAGCATCCACTTAATCAGGGGCCAGTGTAGCTCAATGAGCACATGGATGGGGCTAGGCGGTGGGGGGAGAGGAATGGCATTTGATGAGTTAATACACAAGCAGCAAGGCTTTTAATGACCTTGCGTTTATGGAAGGTAGAATTAGCGTGGCCAGCCAGATGTACTTTAGAAGAGTAAAGCCTGGAGGTGAACAAATGCAGAGAATCTGAATCAGGTATAAAAACAGGCAGTCTTGACAATAGCAATACCCGACAGAGCTCACCTCAGGTCAAAATGAACAGTCTGGTTGAGCATCAAAATAGCTGTCAGGAAGAAAGATGGAGTCGCTCAATTGGGAGCGATGATTATTATAGGGATCAAAGACAGCAACTTCAGTCACCCAATATTTAATAGGCGGAAATTTCGATTCACCTAGAAATGCAGTCTAATAATTTAGGGACAATAGAGAGGATCGAGAAAAGGTGGTAGCGAGTTAAATCTGAACATTTTGTCAGTATCTGTGTGAAAGGTGAGAGTGATTTTACACATAAGCTCACTGCAGAAACAAGAAGTAGAAAAGAGGTGACAAGAACAGATCCTAGGAACATTAGAGGAAAGGGTGAGAGATTGGGAGAAGCTATTTAAGTGTTGGTCATACATCCGCTTGATCCTACTTCATCATTCAACAAAATTATAACTGATCTGATTATAAGCTCAAACCCGCATTGCTGTCCTCCTGTTAACCTTTCAACCTTTTATCAAGAATCTACCTGCCCCAGCCTTAAAATACTCAAAGTCTGCTTCTATGAACAAAAACAAAGTTGCTAGAAAAGCTCAGCAGGTCTGGCAGCATCTGTGAAGGAAAGAATATAGTTAACATTTCGGTTCCAGTGACCCTTCCTCAGAACTAGTCTCTGCTTCCATGACCTTTTCACAATGAGAATGCTCCAAAGACTCATGACCCTTAGATTAAAAAAAAACAATTGTCTAATCTCGGTTTTAAATGGGTGGCTTCTTACTTTTAAAGACTGATCCCTAGCTGTAGATTCCCCCAAAAGAGGGAACATCCTCTCCACATCTACCCGGTCAATGCCTCTCAGGACTTTGTGTTTCAATCAAGTCACCTTAATGTTCTAAAATCCAATGGTTACAATCCCTAGCCTGTCCAAATTTTCCTCAATACAACTTGCCCATTCCATGCATTAGTCTAGTAAACTTTCTCTGAATTGCTCCAACGCATGTACATCCTTAACTGGAGAAAGATGATATGATTGGCTATGTCAAAGACTGTTGAAAACAGAGAAGGTTGAGGAAGGATAATCTGCCTTTATTACAGTCACATAAGGATGTCAAACATGGCTTTGATAGAGCTGTTTCAGTACTATGGCAGAGACAGAAACCTAACTGGAGAGCTCAAACATGGAATTTCAGGAAAGATATGCAACGAAATTGGGATAAAATCATTCAAGGTCTTTCGACAGGAACGAAAGGTTAGAGGGGGCAACAATGTGCAGAGAGGGAGAGGTGAACAGAAATAGATTGAGAAGGATGAAAGCTTGTTCCTTTGGAAAGAGGAAGGAATTACTCACTTTATGTGGCAACACAGGTTTCAGGCTTCTGCTGTAATACTGGAAGGTGTCCCCATTTTTATGTACTTGAACTCTCTCCCCATCATACTTGATCTCTGCATACATTCCGTTTGGGCATTTCTTCATGGCATATTCGATCGATTTGCAAGCTTCTGCCTGAAATGCAAAAACAAGATTAGTTTTCTTTCGAAATTTGCGGGGAAATTAAAAAGAATTAAATTACAGTAACAACGAAGTACCCTTCATAGGACACTTCTATCAAAATTAAACATTTTCTTTTGGGTTTATTTTACACAATGCAATAGGTTAGTAATGTTCTCCTCATGAAGAGCAACATGTGCTCTGGGTAACCTTGTTCAGGTTTAGTCACCTGCTAAGAGATTACAGCTCAGGCCCTAATTTTCCTTGAGAAAAAGATGATGAGCCATCTTCTGAACTTGCTAGATAATTCCAATGGCAGTTCACAGTTAATCATATTGTCGAAGGCCACATATAGCCTGGATTCTGCAAAGAAATTACCTTCCCTAAAGAACATCAGCGAACCAGATGGATTTTTTTTTGATAATGTGGGAGTTGCATGGTCATCTTTACTGATACTTACTAAACAAATTCATTGAAAGAAAGCAAGTTAAATCACATATCTAGAATAGGGTCCCAACTTCTGTTTCCAACACAACCCAACATAAAATTCAGCCTGACCATCTCTCGTCTGAATCAGAGTGCGTTGGCATGAAAACAAAAGCATATCCCCCACAAATTACACCACTTATCACAGCCTGGTGTTAAATTTATAATGCATGTGCATTCCTTTAACTGTATTTAATATTGGTTTGGACAAATTAATGTTGATATAGAAAGCCCAGTTTGGGGATAGAAAGAGAGCTGAGGCTGGCATCTGATTCTTACCAGCATAGGCTGTACTGGGGTTAGAAGATTGGCCTTGATGCTAAGAATCTTCTTCAAACCTGGCACGTGTTCAGATTCTTGTTGATTCTGGAGGACACGGTTAACCACATCTTGCAAATTACGTGAAGCTTTGAATGCATCATAAGCATTGGGGTCAAGGGCATCCAACCTAAATGAAATCAGCAGGGAAAAAAAAGGTACTTACAACCTGGTTAACAACTTAAAGAATGATCAGTGAAGTTGGTGCATTTCGTGAACACTAAAGTTTTTGAGAAGATATCTTTCTTGGGTTGTGGATGAGGTTGTAGCCTTCCTTGCCAAGCCGGTGTGTTTGATTGCAGACGTTTTGTTACCCTGCTGGATAACATAGTCAGTGTGCCTCCGTGAGGCACTGATGTTCTGTATTGCTTGTTATTTATATGCCCTTTGGTTTGCTGGGGTGATTGACATTACAACCACTGAAAAAAGAGAGCCGGAAGTAATGCCAACCACCCCAGCAAACCGAGGCATGTAAATAACAAGCAGGACAGAACACCAACGCTTCACCGGAGGCGCACAATGTTACCTAGCACGATGACGAAACGTCTACAATCAAATACGCTGGCTCAGCGAGCAAGGCTACAACCTCATTTCGTGAACACACCAATCAAACAGAGCTAGTAATACGAAAATTGAAGACATCTGGAAAAACAGCCCACAAATAAAGTAGGTTGAAATATTGCAATACAATTCCAAATTTTGAACACTTAGAGTACAATCCAGAATTTGCTGAACAGATACAAAAAATAAATAAAGGTCCTGAAAGAACAGGTGAGGCCACAATTAAGGGACTAGTTCAAGAGGAGGGCAAACCATGGTAGCAACAGATGTTGTGGTTGGTTGGCTCGCCGAGCTGGTTTGTTATTTTTCCACAGACGTTTCATTACCCTGCTGGGTAACATCATCAGTGCAGCCTCCGATGAAGCACCGTTGTGTTTTCCCACCTGTTATTTATTTGAGCTCAACGGACTCCAGAGTTTAAATAACAGACGGGAAAACACAACAGCGCTTCATCGGAGGCTGCACTGATGATGTTACCCAGCAGGGTAATGAAACTTCTGCGGAAAAGTAACGATCCAGCTCGGTGAGCCAACCAACCACAACATCCACAACCCGAGCTACAAATCTACTCTAAACCCTTAGCAGCAACAGAGCCTGGTTCCCAGGTAGTTGAACAGCTTGGAGCTGTGAAAAAGCTGGGGAGAAGCCATGAAATTTCTACATGTTCTTTTTCTTTCTAAAAGGGGTAGGTGAAATGACAATTGGTTACAGAAGACTTGTAGAAAAAGGAAACCTATAAAAAGTGTAACCTGTCCAAAAGAAGCAGAGTAAAACATGACTAAACAGTCGATGCCAGAAGTGTAGAACAGAAGGGAATTAATAGTTTGAATAGTGTCCAAGCATTTTCCAACTACTGAAGACAGCAAAAAAATGCACAAAGAAAATAATATTGCAACGCAGCTGGGAAAACAGAAGCATTAATGCTTCAAAGCAAAACCATACTGGTGAACCTTGCATTGTAACTTGTGAACGAAAATGGTATTGCAACAATGGGGTGCTAATTATTTTGTAATAATGAGACCTAGCAAGATTGGAAATTAGAATTTTTCAAAAACAAGGGAATGGATGAAACGGAGTCGTGTTTCGAAGCCATTTACAGAAAGCAGCAAGATAACATGGAAATCCGTTAACAAGGCTAAAATCCAGATGCCTGACAACAACCTGTGAGAGATTAGGCATTACAGAAGGTGTGTATAAAAGCTTGAAGAAACCCATTTAATGATGGGAATTTAAAGTACAGAACATATTAAAATCTTTTCAACATTATGAGACAGCAAAAATTTCTAAAATCTCTTTCCTAAATTGATAATGAATCCCTGAAGGAACAACAATTACCAAGGTCAGTCAACTGCTCGTAACTACACAGACACCAGCCAGAGCTGGTACCTTTGTTTGCCACACTCTATATTAATCAATTCTAGATTAGTGTAGAGTCTTTGTTGCACAATTAATCACCTATACACTCTCTCAGTTCAGGAATGACACACAGAAGGGAAATAAAATTACTTTATTTTGCAGCTAAGAAACTCAAGTGCTCAGGACAGTTCAAATAAAAAGATTCACAATTAAATGAAAAAGACATATTAAAATACAACTTTAAACATACAGCTACAGAATTAAAAATCAATAGACACTTACACATGTTTTGCTCCAGAATTCATTCTTAGATCGTGCTTGATCAACCTTATAATGCATTTCAGATCATTGGCTGTGCATCTGCAAGGCACAAGAGGGCACACATCAGTTCTATTCACAAGGACACAAGGAATAAAAGCATGAGTAGGTCATAAAGTTCTATGATCCAGCTCCACTGTCCTACAGGATCATGACTGAACTTCAACCACAATCTCACTTTCTCACCCAAGTCTTCTTATTTCTTGGTTCTCCTAGAGTATTACACTCCACAACTAAGCATCCATAGCTCTCCAGGACAGATACAAAATTACAAAGAATCTGAATCCTCAGTGAAACAACTACTCCTCAGATATAAAGGGTTGATCTCTTACCCTGAGGCATTGTGACTTTGTTACAGACTCTTCAGTGAGATCAGCCTCACAGCATTTTATGTGTCAAGCCCCCTTAGAATCTTGTATATTTCACTGCAATAACCTCTCAGTCATCAAAAGTACAGAGATGACAAGCTCACTCAACTTAATCTCCTCTCTCATCCCAGGGATCCATGTAGTGAACTTTTATAGTACCCAACGTAAGGCCAGTAAATTCTTCCAACATTTGGAAGTGCACCAGATATGGTCTCACCAAAACTACAATGAAATTGCAGAAATGATCCTTTACTCCTGTACATTAGCCCTCATAAAAAGACTACTTTTATTTTTCAGACTAAAAAAATAGAAAGGTACTACTTTAAATCAAGGAAATTGTGGAAGGCGACCTTGCATTTTTAAGAGCAAATTACTGTGAGTATTTGCAATTGTGCGTGTGTGCACACATGTAGTTTTGCTCAGAGTCTGGACTTTGATTGGTTTTTCAATCGACCAGTCATTGTGAACTCGGGAGGGTCCAGTATGGCAATCATCACTTGATTTGTTCCTTAGTAAGTGACTGCTGTTGTATATGCATACAACAGGCAATCCAGCCTGCAAAGAGAAAGCACCTCAATCTTTCTCTCTCTCCTGCCTTCCGTATGGAGAAATAACAAATCTCCCAGTAGGTGTCCTCACTAACCATCTCCCAGTAAACAGCTTCCTTCAGAGACACTGAAAGGTTCAAATTCTGAATGAATGAATGAATGAATGAATAAAAGACAGCATCAGTGCAAACAAACTCATCCCATCAGCAAACAATTGGAAGGAGGCAAAAGAAAATGGCTCATTGACATGTGATCTAAACTGGTGCCAGAATGGTACTTCTCTGATGTTTCTCTCCCCCACCCATAATACTTGTGTCTTGTTTTGTCTCTATTTCGACGCATACAGACTTTCTTTAAATGGGTAGAACTTAAGTTTTAGGATTATTAGCTAACAATTCATGTTTCTTTCTTGCTATTGGTTAAAACCAGTTTGATTACAATAAATTGTTATTGTTGTCTTAATGATAAAACCTGGTGTGCATTTTGTAGTGATTGTAATGAGATCAGTCAGGTGGATATCACAGACTATGCGTTCCTTGATTGGGGCTGTTAACCTGGTCCAATCAGGGAGCCCTGGCTGACAGATATAAAACAGGAGTGTCAGAGGTTCTACTCATTCTGAGAGCTGGCTCAGAGGAAGCCAGACCAGTGTCAAGTACTATGCATGTGTAAATTAAGTGTGACATGGTGATGGGATACTGGCCTCTGGAGTTATTTCACTTTTTTTTATTTGAAAAAAACAATTGCATTAAATTGGGCAATAAGATGGTTTAATCAATTTTTCACATTTGTGGCAGCTCTGAGAATAGTGGCGCTTGATTTCCAATGTACTACTTCAGTGATGACGTGGAGGTGCCGGTGCCGGTGTTGGTCTGGGTGGACAAAGTCAGAAATCACAAGACACCAGGTTATAGTCCGACAGGTTTATTTGAAAGCACAAGTTTTTGGAGCCTCGTTCCCTCTTCAGGTGTTAGTGAGAGAGGTAGTATTAGACACATAATTATAAATTATAAATTCTGTATCTGATACTACCTCTCTCACTAACACCCGAGGAAGGAACAAGACTCCGAAAGCTTGTGTTTTCAAATAAACCTGTTGGGCTATAACGTACTTCAGTGAGTAATGGCACGTTCCTGTAATAAAATGCAAACATGCGATTTACCCTCCTAAGTGAAGGACATCTGAATCCTTCAAATCATTAACATTATAATAGTTTCCAACTGTTTTCCTGTTCTTCCCAAAGTTAATTAACTGCACATTTCTCTACATTATACACCGTGGTTGTCCGCCTACCTGTAACACTTTGCATACTTCCTGTGTCTTCATGGTTTACATTTTTACCTATCTTTGTACCATCAGCAAATTTGGTTGTTTATTGCTCTGCCTCCTCATATAAGACATTAACATGGATCGCAAGTAAGAGGCCTACACACAGATTCTTGTAGTGTTCCAGGAAAGCAAAGTTGCAACCTTCTTCCTGCTCATTTCTTGCCCTTTAAGAAATTCTCGACCATTCTAACGTATCACCATTAATCACACAAGACCTTGTGCAACAATCTTTCACATGATACTTCTATTTATACCACATCTTGTGTGAAAACTATTGCAGTACTTTTGTTCCAAGTTCCTCTATGTTTTGATAAAACTCTGTCTGACAGTATCATTACTGTTAATTTTTAGGCCTAGCAACAGTGTCTTCTATACCACTGTATAGGTCGCATCTCCCTAATCTGCAGCCTCAGGACCAGGCCTTTGCTGGACCAAATCATTTGTCAGACCACAGGAGATCATGTGTCAGAGTTAGTATGGGTGCTTTTAAAACCATTCCCTTTCTCTGCTCCCATCTCACTTTACAGTATTTAAATGGTAGGAACTTCACTTGCTGCACTTTATTTAACTGATGTAAAAGCAGTTTAACTGGAAATGTTCCTTGCTGCACAGTAAAATGCCAAAGATACTGCAGGCGCTAGACCACAGAAGTTGCTGGATCACAGTATGCCAGATTAGGAAGCTACAACCCATGTTTCTCACCTCCACTCATCAGGATTCTATTTCCTGAACAATTAAGCCAAGATCCTTCCTCATTACTGTCCTCATGTTATGTCTCATCAGAGTTTCACCATGCCCACCTTGGCACCTAGTACCCAGAAATATTTAGTCACCATAAATCAAGTCTCTGTAATGCCACGCATTGACTACTAACTATCACTACTTAAGCCATTAATTTCTCTATCTTAAAAAAAAACTTTATGCTTGCAAAATAAGTGTCTTTAATTTTAACCTGTCACTCAGTTTGTCCTGATCACTGATCTATTACTCTTCAACTCAATTTCGCCCCATCATACACTGCTTATTACTACACTGGTCTATTAACTGTACTTTTCCCTTTAGATTTATCTGAAGAAAAACATTTAGGTTTTAAAAAGTTCCCTCCTCTAACCTGAGCCCATACACCCATTCACTTGTTTAAAGCCCTGCCTAAAGCGCTAGTTATTTGTTTTGCCAGGTCACCAGCCTCAGTCCAGTTCAAGTGCTGTCAGGTGCCAATGGAACAGCTTCCTCGTACTCAAGTATTTGTGCCATTGCTTAGTGAACTGAAACCCATGTCACACACAATGCTTTTGAATCATACATTCAGTTCTGAGCTGTTTGACCCTAGGTCAATCGTCACACATCTCTGGTAGCATTCCAGAGATTACTACCTTTAAATTATTACTTATTGATTTGGACACTAACTCCTCGAAATCCCTTGGCTGAACCTCATTCTCAATCCTGTGTAGGGCATTAGTTCACAAATGGACCACGGCAACTGCATCTTCCTCTCTGCTCCAAAGCCATTTCCAGCTACGAGAAGATGTTCTTAATCATGCCACTGGGCATTGTTACCAAAATGCTTTATATTTAACATTGCTTAGAGGACTCAAAGTTTTGAAGGATTCGCAAAGAAGGAATTTATTCTTAGTTCTGTTGATATACTTACAGGGATTTCTTTAAACAAGGTAATTCAAAGTTCAAAGTTCATTGTGTATTTAGAGTCATAGAGATATACAGCACGGAGAAACAGACCCTTCGGTACAACTCGTCCATGCTGACCAGATATCCTATATAAATCTAGGCTCATTTGCCAGCATTTGGCCCATTTCCCTCTGAATCCTTACTATTCATATACCCATTCAGATGACTTTTAAATTTTGTAATTATACCAGCCTCCACCACTTCCTCTGGCAGCTCATTCCATATACGCACCACCCTCTGCATGAAAAAGTTGCCTCTTAGGTCCCTTCTAAATCCTTCCCCCCTCACCCTAAACCTATGCCCTCTAGTTTTGGACTCCCCCACCCTGGGAAAAAGACCATGTCTATTTATCCTATCTATGCCCCTCATGATTTTACAAACCTCTATAAGGCCACCGCTCAGCCTCTGATGCTCCACGGAGGACTTGTAAAAAAGGTATACTAGAAATCACAAGACTCCTGAAAAGTGCTTGCTTTGCTCGATACATTGCTGGACTGTTTAAACAGAAACTGGCTTAGACAAGTTCTAGTTTTATCTGGTTCAGTTGGAATAAAGTCTGCTAAGTATCAGCTAAGTTGGAGAAAAGCTTGCTAAGAACAAATTACTCAGTAGTTTTTCTCATTTCTGGAAAGAAAACACTCTTATTGACGGAAATTCATTTGTTCTTTTGAAAGTGTGATTAAAAGAATATCTGAAGATTGTATTCCCTGAGCAAGCGATGTTTATCAAGGTTTCAGAGACAATTCATGATTAATGTCTTAACCACACATGCCAGAATGTCACAGGAACAAAGTACAGAATATCCTACTCTACCTTTTGCCTTCCAGAAAAACTCATCTGTCAAGGTGTTCTTTTTCTGAAAGATTTGTGTATAAAAGTCAGTTTTTAAATATACCTTTTCCTGAAGAATTAGTGCATAGGTGTAAGCTTGAGTGTGTGTTTTGGGGATATTTAAAGGAACAAATATCTACATTCCTAAATTACAGACTATATATGTTAACTAACTATTGCATACGTTTTAGTTTGGTGATAAATCCATGATGGTGTTTATTAAGAAACCTGACTGATAGATCTTCTTGTTGAAATCCCTTACCTATATCAGGTTTTAGTTGATGGTCTTGATAACTGGAAAAAGAATTAATTTATGTTATGGGATTACAGCAAGGGTGCACTTCAGCCTCAAATCATAATATCATGCAACACTGCCTTAGGGAGATCCAGTCATGGTTGCGCAGCAAAATGTCTACTCTCCTTACTGTACAGATGCGTGATTATTTAACAAAAACCAATCATTACAGGAATAGTTAGCTGTTCAGCAACAAGTGTTTTGAAGTTAATAATACAGCATAATTCCCATAACTCACTGTATAACAGATTTTCTAGAGTTACATGCAAAAAAAACCTCATCACAAAACGTGCAAACTTAGATACGCTGTCTAGATGGAATGCTGGCATCAGCCTGGAATGGGGTCAATTTACATAGTAGGATGCTTCCATGAGATGATTTGCTTCCAACAACCATTGGTTACATTTTCTCTTATAGAGATGGTCATTGCAAATATTACTCACATTAATCCGCCTAGCCTGAATATTAGTCAGGTCTGAACAATGCCCTGTTTAAAATCTAATCAACAAGCGTTGTCAGTAGTACTGAACATTGTACAACCAGCAGTGAAAATCTCTAATTCTGACTTTCTGATGGAGAGAGGGTCAGCAATGAGACGGCTGGGCCTGAAACACTGTGGTGGGGAGACTTGGGCCTCCAACAGCCACAACTTCTATTGTACTAAGTTTGGGTCCAGTCAATGAGGAGCCTTCCTTAATTCCCACCAATTTTACAAGAAGTTACTGATGAAATACTTGGTCAAATGCTACCTTGATATCAAGTGTCACCAGTCTCATCTCATTAGTAACTAAGTGCCACCTGATAGCACTGTCAACAATACTTACCATCACTTTGGTGAGGTCTGAGAATGGACTGATAGGCTGATAATGGATTGTTTCGGATTTGCCCTGCCTTTTGAAACAGGCCTTGGAAAGGAAGGCTCTCGTGGAGCAGCAGCAATGTCCCTGTCACTGGAAGTTAGTCAAGTTCTACCTGTTCTCCTTGATGTGTTATAACATGCCTGAACAGATTGATTAAAAGTTCAAAACTCAAAGTTTAGAAGGATTGGGGAAGAAGGAATTTATTCTAAGTTTTGTTGATATACCTACAGGGATTTCTTTAAACAAGGTACAAGGTTCTTTAAGCAACATAACATAAACACGGACTGGGCAAGTTTCCACTTTATCAGTTAAGTGCTACAACTGCTGCTGTACAAGAATAGCCTGAATAGAAGTTCATCCAGTACAGGAGCACAAGTCTTCACCATTACACCAGAGATTTACTTAGAAATCATAACCTTTACTACATCCAGTATGCTTAACCATTTCTTAATATCACATGGAATTATACCAGTCAGCTGAATTGGCGACCTCAGGAGGAGGTCAAAATGGACCATCCACTTTAGCCCTGCACCATGACACTAGACATTTCTAAAATCCAAGACTTACTTTGCAGCAATATTCTGAAGCTCCTTTTGTTGGTCTTCCTCCCTAGTCAATTTGGACAGTTGCGTGAGAGCTGCCTCGACCTCCTGAATTGTCATAACACTTTTATGGGCTGGCGGGAAAGTTTGACTCTCCTCAAAAAAGATGCGCACAGTCTCAGAGACATCCCCCTAGAGTAAAAGCAAAAAATGAAACTTATTTATTTGGTGCCTCTTATGATCTTAAGGCATTCTAAATGTGTGTTGGGCCAATAATTTGTGTTTAAGTGTAATCACTGTTGTAACGAAGGAAATACAGCAGCCAATTTAACCTCAGCAAAGCTCCACAATCAACAACATAATAATGACTAACTAAACTGTCTTAGTTGAGTTGGGCAAGGGAAAGACAAAAATAAGCCAGGACACCCAAGGGAACTCCCTTTATTTTCAGTGATATGGCACCTTTGGATCTTTTATATTCACCTGAGAGGGCAAAGAAGACCTCAGCTTAACGTCGCATCCAAAATGAGTAACTTCTGACATTGAAGCACTCCCTCAGTGTTGCACTGGAATGCTAACCTAGATTTTGTACTGAAGTTGTAGACTTGCTCACTGAGCTGGTGTGTTTGATTGCAGACGTTTCATCACCCTGCTGGGTAACATCGTCAGTGTGCTTCTGGTGAAGTGTTGGTGTTCTGTCCCGCTTGTTATTTATATGCCTTGGTTCGCTGGGGTGGTTGGCATCACTTCCAGTTTTGTTTTTCAGTAGTTTCT